CCTGGGAGACTAATTTCAAAAGGAGAAGATAAACAGGGAGAAACTGGGTGGGCAGCAAGTGAAGCAGAGAAGAGAGAAGAATCAGACACAGTGTTGTGCAGAACACTCAAAGCTCAGAACATGGCAAGTTTTACACTCCAGACATACCAAATTGTCAAGAGGCACCCATACCTGGGGTAGGGAGGGCTGCACCCAACTCAGACACTTCAGTCATACATGACAGGAGAAAGGAGCTGTAGCCAAGGACAGACGGAAAAATGCCAGTTGCTACACACAGCATCAAGGACCATTGAACAGAAAGATTCTCTCCGTTTAAGATTTCCTCTTTAGACTCTCCACACAGGAAGCTGCAAGAACCTCTCATTTTCTAGGGAAGAAAGGGCTCCGATAATCCTGCCAGGATTCAAACTTAAGCTTGCCAGTAGTCTAAGGTAGGGATAGCAAAGATCTGGCCCTCAAGGCCCAAACCTTTTCAAGTTCTGGCTTCCAGCCTTTAACAGGAGTCCTATCACCCAGCTTGCAGTGCTTTCAGCAGGTCCTGGACCAACTAGCCCATGTGCACCAGCTCTGGACCTGGTCTTGTGCATCACATGTAGGACTGGTCCAGGGCGCACACTGCATGTGGCCTGATGAGTTTGATACTCCTGGTCTATAGGTTTCTGAACTAATGTTTAAGTCACTGTTCATCCCCTGGAGCTACAGAAGGGGCTACTAAGAAAATGGAGTGGCAGCAGCTTCTCTTTGTTTCACTTGCCAACAAATGGATTGAAGCCTTGCAAACTGCAGTGGGTCAAAACGGATAAATTTCTGGCCTCACTGTCTACAACGCTGCCAGTGTTGCCGTCATCATCCGTACTGCCGGAAAGCAAGCAGGGCTCGTGCTATTGCGGCATAGCCAAAACCTCGGCAGTCTGGAAGCCGGAACTTGGAACAACTCCAGATCCCCATTAAGTAATTATATGTCTTACCATTATGATGATAACATATGGGCTATTTAACCCAATGAAAGGACCCTTCTTATTTGCTATACTCAGCTTTGTCCTCTATTCAGCAGCCATTCTCCTAACACAGAATAGCCCCCTCCCAAAGTTTTTTTTTTTTTTAATTGAATGTTTTACTACTTCATATAAAAACTCCAGAAGACCCATCAGCTGCAATAAATGGCTCTGCCTTGGACAGAACACCCAGGCTTCAATATAACCTCCACATTTCTGCCATTCACAAACCACTTAAAAGCCACACCCCAGCCATTTGAGACAAAAAAGCCAAAGCTTTCTGCTGACTGGGTAAGTCAGGAACCATGACACTCCCATGCTGATGATTTCACTATGGCAGCTTTTGCCTGGCATGAGCTATTAGCAGCATTTGTTTCTGCTATGCCAATATCTACAGGCAATTATCTTGTCTGCTGGTACTGGACGCCTCAGTGTTGGGTACACATTCTCACTTGTCTCATCAGCAGCACCTGTTAGGTTCAGAGTTTGTTGCAGTTTTGCTTGCTAACATTGCGGAGCTCAGGGGCTGCCAGCTCCATTGCTTGAAACCTTATTTGCAGAAGTTTCAAATAGTCTGAAGCTCCAGAGGGCAACATTCAAGCAAGCAATGTTTTCTCTCCTTGCTCTTGTGCAACAGCAGGACTGGAGCCTGTATTTTTCTCACGTTTCTTGAGCACCTATCCAGCTGGTTCCACCCCCCGAATTTAAGATGAAATTTTTTTCTCACTAAGCAGTCCACAATTGGGAGGTATGTGAGCTTCAGTGACATGCTGTCTCATTAGCTTGTGGGTAAGCTCAGATCTGCTGCATCCTCTGCACCTTGCTAAACAATCTCATCCTCACTTAGAACCAGGGCTGGAAAGGCCCTCGTGAGGTCTAGTCCAATGCCCTGCTCAAGGCAGGATCATCCCTGTCTAAACCAGTCTAGACAAGTGCTTGTCTGATCCTGTTCTGAAAACCTCTACAAACCCTCTCACACAACTACCTGGCGCAATGCTCAAAATGCCCTTTAATTGCCAGAATAAAGCAAAGGGACAACAGCACAGTCAAAGACAAGTAGTAGTTAGTAAAATGCATGCAAAGAGAGAAAAGGAACAGGAACATGTACCCTACTATACAGGAAGGCAAAAACCCCAATGCCAGTCTGCCATGAGGTAAAACCCCTTCCTGATCCTGGATGTGGCAAATCAGTGTGACCTTGTGGGGAGCAGCAAGGCCTCTAGGTTTTAGAAGTTAAGACTGAAGGCTGAAGATATGTCCAAAGCAAGTTTGCCTGCTTGCACATTTAATTTGACTCGTTTAATGGCAACGCTGTTTAAGATGCTAGCATTCAAGCATTTCTAAATGGAGGACACCAGCCACCTTGAGACTTCATGGCTGAACAGTTAGCATGAGAAGTTTAGATGAATACCTGGTACAGGATTGCATGTTCTTTGCAAAGAAGCCAAAGAACAACCTTCCCACTTGTATTAAAAATGAGCTGACTTGCATAAGATAAGAAAGTTTTACTAAGGTTGATAGCACCAGGGTGAATTCACTAGGTCTCTGCAAAGGTTTCCACTTTGATACTAATTTAATTGCCTTATTATGAGTAACTTTCAGATTCTTCTGGGAATCCTTACCAGGAAAGGAGAATAGCTTCTTTGGGCTGAGACACGTTGTTTACCTGGCTGCACTAGTAATGAGTCTGCTGCCTTGTTTTTGCAACAGAGACTCCCGTTGAAGACATGCTGTCTCCTACCACTCCAAACGCTCCGTCAATAACCACTAGTGGTGTTGTTCTTGCAGTGATCATGGCAACGCTAATTACTGCTCCACACATTGTCACTAATTATTATTAATATCCTTATTAAACAGCAATGGGATGGAAGCTGTTTGCAGGCTCATCTGGATGCTGCAAGAGACTGTTTAAAGCAACATTTCAGTCAGAGAATTTTTCCACCTCCCCCACAAGTCAGAGCTACTTGGTTTTGTATGGAATAGCAAACCATGACTCCTGCCAGCTTTGAGAAGCGGATGGGAAAGCACTGAGGCAGTCAGTGCACACTGAGCACTGTAATAACTGCAGACCAGCACAATGAATTCTACTGCCCCATGTAGCATCAGCACAATCACCTGTCCAGAGCATTTATCGTCAAGAACAGAGGAAGCAGAAAAAGCCCAGATTTATTTCCCCCTAAAAGGATTAAAGGACAATTAAGAAAAATGTATTTCAGCGAAAGGAGAAGGAACATGAATTCCAGAATCCTTTACTACAGTCTCTTTTTTGTCATCAGCCTACTTTATGATGCTTAATATTAATAAAGTGTTACTTTACCCCCAATACTGTATTTTGTGTTGCAACTGCAAATTATGGTCTGAAAATACATTGCAGGAAAAACTGGAGGGGACAGGAGGGAGATGTTTTCAAATGACATTTTCAACTAGAGTATTAGCGAGGCAGATAAATATAGGAAGGTCCTAAAGGCAAAAGCTACAGCAGAGGTTTTCTCCACCAAGAATAAGCCCACAAGGAGGGAGAGTGCAGACATTGGTACCAGAGGTGCAGATGAAAGGACTGTAGAAAGAAATGCAGGCACATATCCAGACCAAGTCCACATTTGATTTTAAAAACCTACCCTTTTCAATTAGGGCTTTTGCCATTGAACACCTTAAGCCCTCATTCTACAGCAATTACATGCAAGTCAGCCCACTGATGCCAGACTGTTCTCTTGCGCAAAGCCTGAAGGACAGGGTTCTTATTTGAGAACAAAGGTAGTTGGAATAAGAAGCCTGTACAGTTAATAGGCCACTGCAGACTGACACTGTGAAGCACCACCAAAGACAGTGTCCTTCCTGCAACACCGAGTGTTCTGAAAGAAATTCAGTCACACCATTTACAAACAGACCATTCAACCAGAAGACTGGAGACATCTGAAGGAGATCTTTCATGAGCCAGAATAAAAACATTCATTGAAACTCTGGCATATACTTTCTCAAAGACTCCCAAACAGAGAGGCTCACAACATTTGTGCATACTTTTGTGCAAAAATTACCTATGCTGCTTATGGAAGAGGGGGGCAGGAGGTTCTGCCCGCTGATATGGTAGACGCCATTTCAAACCATGTCACTGGGAGAATCACAATCTCAATGCAGCCTATACACAAAACAAGGTTAGCTTTTTATCTCAGAATCTAGGTTCTCCCCTGAAACGCAGCCATGTATCACGCAAGCAGACCAAAAGCTTTATTCTTTTCCAGCTCAGTCATAAGTGTAGGGTTCATTCTTGCAGTTGCAACAGCTGCGTGCGCTCTCCTCACTCCGACTCCTCTGTCCGACTTGATGTAATGACGGATGCCGCCAACTCCTCTATAATTATTGTTGCTGCTGTCACAGCTGGTGCTTCTGGCCTCAGTGCTAGGACAGGCCTGTTATTACACCCACTGTGTTATTCTCAACAAGAGAGGAATGGGTGTGATTAGTGCTTGTCCCCCAAGCCTCCTTGCTTACCACCAACAGCGCAGACAGAGCTGTGATGAGCCGTGGACCCCCTGGCAATCCACGGAGCGACAGCTCCAGCACAGGGATGCAGTGCCCGCCACAGCAAAGGGGCAACCCCGGCCAATCACCTGCACGCAGGCAACAGCCGAGAAGGCCCCACAACAACATCCACCACCTCCCCCCTCAGCCCCGGCCCAGCCCCACGGGCAGGGGGCAAGCGCATGACCCCAAGCCTCCCGGGAAACTGGATCTGCCTGACCCATGACCTCCGGAGTCAAGGGTCAGCCCTCTCCCCAGACCATGGCCTGGTACCTGCCCCAGCCCAGCACGAGGCTCCACCACACCCTACATGACCCCTGCCCCCATGTGACCTTTGCCCCTGACCTCAGCCCAGGCCAAAACGAAACCCCGCCCCCCCACGCGACCCCTGCCCAACCCAAAACGAGGCCCTGCCACCCCCACATGAGCTTTGCCCACTGACCTCAGCCCCGCCCCGCCCCGCCCCGCGTGCCCTTTGCCCCCGACCTGGATACGCTGCAGGTAGGAGGCGGGTGCGTAGCCCGTCTCGCCGGAGCCCGCGCGCGTCACGAGCCACCAGTGCTGGTTGCTGCGCTCGAGCAGCAGGAAGGTCTCGCCGGCGGCAAACGGCAGCGAGTTGGGCTCGGCCGAGCGGAAGCCGTACAGCG